GGCACTCTAGCCCGGGCAACAGAGTGAGACTCTGTCTCAAAAAAAGAAAAAGAAAAAGAAGCCCAGGTGTTAATTGTATTAACCTTATAATACAATTAAAGACACTGAGGCTCAGAGAATTAAATGGCTTGCACACGCTACAAAGTGGTGAAGTTGGTGCTAAAATTCAGGTCTTCTCAAACTAAGTTCAGTGCATTTTTGACTATATCATAAAATCATGATCTTTGCCCAGAGTATGAGTACAGCAGGTCCTTGAATTAACGTCGTTTTGTTATAACGCTGATAAAAAAAAAATCAATTCGTCCGTGTGGTTTGCACATTTGCCCCACATCTCTGTGGGTTTTCTCCTGGTACTCTGGTATCCTCCATCCCAAAGTTGTACCCATTAGATTAACTGGTGTGTCTATACAGTCCCAGTGTGAGTGAGTGTGGGTGTATACATGAGCGTGCCTTTCGATGGGATGGTGGCCTGTCTAGGGTCAGTTCCCACCTGGAGCCCTGAGCTGTCAGGAGAGGATAAGGCCACTGTGACCCTGAACTGGAATAAGTGGGTAATTATTTTACTTATTTTTATTAATCTTTCTTAAAACCTATATATGGCTCACATTTATTTCAATGTTTAATATTAGAAGTGTTTTGGTCCTTATTTAGAAGTTTGGTGATGTTTTGTGACCAGAAATATGCCACAGGAACTTAACTCTTGTTTGTATCAATTAGCCTATGGTAAAATTGGTTTCATCATACGTTGTTTCGCTTACAGTTGCAGTTTCCAAGAATTCATCAACAACGTTAACTGAGGACTTACTGTATAGACTTAAAACAGAAGCCAAAGACACAGCCCTGGAGGATCACAGAAAATAGAAGATAAATTATCAAAGCCTTCCCAAAAAAAGTGCTTCAAAGGGCTTAAAACACATGAGACCCGTGACATTTGCGAGGGATAATATAAACACCTATAAGAATTTCCAAATTTGAGAAAGATACTACATAATAGGTAGACTTACTAAGTGATTCATTTCTGCACACCAACCTTTTAGCGTCCCAAGATCCAAATTCATGATAAGCACCTATACCTATTTTGTCACATTTAAGTTTTATAAAAGCTCTATGAGGCCAAGATTATTTCCTTTACAAATTACTGTTTCATGGGTCTTTAAAGTTGTTTATAAACTGGCAAAATCTCAACCATTAAACTCCACAAATGGCAAGGGTCTCCTTTAAGCAGCAAAGCAAAAAAGAAAATGATATAAAATTAGAGGCCAGCAAGTAAGCTGAGAAACAGTTAGTAATCAAAGGTCAGAGACAGCAGTGGTTAGAGGAGATAAGGATGGAATGGCATAATGTCCTTTAGATAAGTGAGAATGTCTTTGAAGACCTTGGAAAGGATGATTTGTAAAGAGTCAGTGGAATGGAAACCAAATTGAAGATCAAAGAGAGAGAGATAACAGTAAGAAAGTCAATGCTCCTAGCTAAAGAAAATGCGAAAGTTCAACAAAACTACCTAATGGTGAAACACAGTGTTTAAATTGAACTTTGATTTTTGAAGTCTTGTTTCACTGTCTCTTCCTTACCTCTCTTTCTTCATGTGGGGTTTGTCCATCCAGTCGACAATACTCATAACCACGCCACATGCAATAATCCTCTAAAATGTCCAGCAAGCGAGTCATTTGGCTGAAAATGAGAACCCTGGAACCTAAAACATTTCACCAAAAAAGTAAGTTATATAACTTGTGTAAAACTAACTTAAAAGTTACAAGAATAAAATTAAACATTATATGCAGTATAAATATACAGTACACGAACACTCCACTACACACATATATACACACACACCCCTTCAAGGGATGCTATGTAGAATTATGCATTTGTTGAGTTACGCATTTTTAAGATCTTCAAAATCCTCCATACATACTGAAATGATTTAACGTCTGCCTTTACTTTGTCCAAAGGATGAGTGATGGGTCCACAGGCTCTCTCACTGGACTACTGCAATAGGTCTCCTAACTAGTCTCCTATTTCTAGACTCTTGTCCTCAGTAGATCCCCCAGTACTGCTTCCAAAGTTCTCTTCCTAACACATAAGAGTGACATACTCTGTCACTCTCCACAGTCAAATATCCTATGACCCTCCCTCTACCTTCAAGATAAAAGTCCCAACTCCTTAAAACATGGTTTAAAAGACCTTTCACAATTTGGTCTATCCATCTTCCCAGATTCATCAACTGCCACCCTACCCCAAATACCATAGGCTCCCCCCATTCCCTTTTTTTACACGTCTGTTTCATTGCCCTGGAAAACCCTTCCTCTCCTTTTTACCATGGTTCAGTCCTACACATTCTCCAGTGCTAATCTCAAATGTCATCTCTGTGAAGACTTTCTCAACTCCCAGTTTCTCAACATATCATAGCACTTATCACAATGAACTGCAACTATTCCTTCTCACTACACTGTGAGCTTCTCCAAGGCAAAGACTGCTGTCTTATTCATCTTTGTACACCCAGCCCATTGGACAATTCCTGGCAAATAGTAAGTACTCAACAATGTCTGAACAAGTGAATGAATGAATATGGAAAATTTTATTCATATACAAGTCATTAATACGAATTTATTCCATGCTAATTTTAAAAATGTATTACTCACCCTGTTCTTTGAGTTTGGCCAACAGTTTATCCAAAACTACCATTTTACCACTGTTGCTGACAACATGCTCATCAGTGGTGTAAGGTGGACCGGGCTCAGCACCATCAAACAAATACGGATGATTGCAACATTTTCGAAGTTGCATCAGAATGTTTAAGAGTCGCATCTTGTCCATCTTGCCAGCAGAGTTTAAAACATCAATGTCTTTCATCAGGATTTTTGTATACCTAAAATTTTAAACTATAATTAATCATCAATTATTAGAAAGGTTAATGTCATAAAGAAATGTTCCTTTAGCCATCAGATTACATTCCTGTTTAAAAATAAACAACAAGATTTGATTTGAAACTAAATCTGATCGTTAAAACCAGCAAACTAATGAAGACTGGAACACTGTAACTTGTATGTTTTTTAAACCTGTTTCCTCCTGCTTTATCCATTATTAGAAATTGCCACCAGCTGATAATTATTTAGACTTATATCTGGTAGTTATTCAGTTAAGTACAAAATTTGCTGAAAGTTGACATCCAACTTTTACTTGTTTGAGCTAAACACAAAATCAATTTTTTTCTTTTCTTTCCTTTTTTTAGAGACAGGCTCTCACTCTGTCGCCCAGGCAGCACAGTGGCATGATCATAGTTCACTGTAACCTCGAACTCCTGGGCTCAAGTGATGCTCCTGCTTTAGCCTCCCGAGTAGCTAGGACTATAGGTGTGTGCCACCATGCCTGGCTAAATTTTTTATTTTTATT